AACAGTATTAAATTTTTTTTTTTTATATTAAATTTTTTTTGGATGGATTTTTTTTTTTGATATTAAATTTTCTTATAGTATTAAAAATTTATTGTTAAAAAAACAAATTTAAAAGAATTTTATTGCCAAAAGAATATCTGATGCCTCAAAAAAAATTTAAAGTTAGAAAAAAGATTTATTACCAAAAAATAATTTAAAGCCAAAAAAATTTAATATCAAAAAAAAAAATCCATCCAAAAAAAATTTAATATAAAAAAAAAAAATTTAATACTGTTTTTAAAATCGATCAATCCGATAATTCAGAAAGGACATCGGTGTGATCGAACACTCGAAAAACAAAAATTAGCTCAAAAAAATTTAATATATGATCAAGTGAATATTTGAGATCATTAAAGCAGATATTTAATCTATAGAGCTAATAAAAGTGTAATAAAACGATGAGAGAAATAAAGAACCAAATAAAAGAAAACATGTTAGAAATTTATTAGAGTCTGAAGAATTTTGGTTATTTCTAAACTGCAAATTAGGATTTAACCTCAGTTGTCATGGTCTTCCATAAATATTCTGCCAAACAAGCGATCCTACGCTGACTAATTTTATGCAGAAAGCAAGATTTATCGTCACATTTTGATTTTGTTTCTAATAAACATCCGAGCATAGTCTTGAAAAGAAAGAAACAAGGCTTTTGATCACAAACACCTTCGTGTGAAGTTTTAAGAATAGAAACAGCAATAAAATGAGAAATAGATGGGCATTGAAAAGATATTACGAAATGATTGCCTGGATATGATTCGAGAGAAAATGCTATATCTTTGATACAAACTGTATTCTTAGTTATTGTCATGTTTATCATGTCCACCATGTTTATCGCAGTACTAATATTATTTTTGTTATTAGTTTTTCTTTTTGATATAAATTAATGATTTATAGCAAACTATGAATTCAGTAAGTTTGACAGTATATGCAGTATATGAGGTAAAGGCTATAGGAAATGTTCACCTTTAAATATTGTTATTTGTTCTATAATGCAAACTCGATTGGTTATAATAGTATCCTGATTGTAATTAACATGTTAGATAAATAATTAAACCATCACCAATAAAATTACTATAATTTGAAAATAGTTATAATAAATCATAATAGTATTTCTATTGC